ATCCTTGTAAGAAGTCAACATCCTCGACTGTTCTCCGGTTTATCCCGATAGCGCTGTGTGTTGTCTCACCGTGAAGTAACGTAGCGGCTACGCCTGATAAGGCTGTAATAACTATCGTTCGTGAAGTGAATTCAGAGCCAATCAGTTTACAGAATTCGCGTGCGTAGGCTGTGGTAAGGTTGATCACGGTAGTTTTGCCACTGCCTCCAGGACCGTGGACAAGACATATGAGCTGGGTTCCTTCGCCTCCTTTCAATAGTTTCAGGTTTTTCTTCGTATTGCGATACTTCTCGATCACAGTGAATTCAATTAAGCCATCGTTCTCCTCGTCTACCACCTCATCATAGAATGTCAACAGAAAGGCCGATATAATGGCCTCGAACGCACGCCGTTGTAGCGGGTCAAGTTTTCCTGCACTCGCCCATTCCAAGATACTAGCGATAGATCCGTTTGCTTCATGCACCTTCGCTCCTTTGTTGTATTCAAAAATTGCTTCCCTGGCTCGTGCGGTAGTCTTAGTCAACAGAACCTCAACAATATCACGAATGTGAAATGGCTTTTGACCATGGCCTATTCCGGCACCGGTTGCGTCCGCGACGGTATGACTTTGTATGTGAACAGTATACTCAACAAAGTCTCCTTCCGCTCCCATTGGGTCTTCGCAATCATTGGTAGGAATTGGTAGCTTCACCGTGTCAGCATCTTCCGTTTGCTTCTTCCGTTTAAGCATGATGCTATCAAACGAGTACCCCTGCATCGTGGCTTCAAGGAACATGAACTCTTCATCTGTCACATCTTCGTCGAGCTGATTGAAGAAACTAGGAAAAGGAATGTCGTCGGATCCTTCTTCTTCATCTGAATCATCATCTTGCTCTTGCACTCGGACACAGTCTGGTGGACAATATGGTTCCGTTACGGATTGCAGGTCATCGTTCGACACCTTGTGCCGTGTGAAGTTGTGTGCGCAGTCTTGTAAGTTTTGAAGGAATCTAATGTTTTCATCGGTGAAGACGGTTGGCATGTCATCTTGTTGACGTTTCGTTTCATCATCATTGTGCGCTTCTCTGAGTATATTCGTGTAGGGTTTCCGACCACTGTACCCGATAGGAACAAAATCAGATTGGGATCGAAAGGGCATGAGTAGCGACAAAGCGCTCTGGCAGTACTGTTCCATTTTGATACTGATTTGATCCTGTGGACACGTAAGCATGTTCGCTCGAAAAAGGCTTGTGTCTGGAAAATCCCACTGAGTAACCTTGATCAATTTGTTCTTATCCGATTTCACAGCACATTGACTGGGCAATCCATACGTCCCTTTCTTCTTCTTCAATTGCTTCGATGATGGATGGATGAAATGATCCATGTTCTCGAACCGCCAGAATGTCTTTTCGCCGTTCCTCTTACGCTTCTTTTTCGCCTTTGTCATGTCCCAGGCAAAGTAACCTTCATAAAATTGACGAACTGACAAGGACTCCAGGTCTGTGCTGCGACAGAGATAATGAAATGCTTGATTCTCGAAGAACAGACTTCCGTCCGACGACAGCTTTGCATCCACTGTGATTGCTTCTTTGTTCAGCAACCTCAATATGTCCTTCAGAGGGCAATATACGAACTCATGGGAGAAGTAAAAACGTTGGTGATTGCGCAACAAGAAACTAGCCATCGGTGCACCAACGATGTTCGTGGAGTTATGCGCAAACGCCGCTCGACGTATCAGTCTTGTTGCTTCTTGGGTGTCATCTTCATACTTCCTGCTACCTGGACCGAGCTTTTTCATGGTTTCTTCAACTTCTCCATACTCAGCGCGGTCCTGTTTCTGTGTACATTTCGTGGTGTATTTGAATTGATATTGCCCCAAGGGCCCAGGAGTTTTACCAGAGATAGGTTGCTGTTGCAAGAAAACTTTGATTCAGAAACAGCCCTGCAAGCCACATTCTGGAAGAGATCAAATTGATTGCGCTGTGGTAAGAATGCTACCATTGGACGATAAAATGTGGGTTGGATCCATGGGATCAACGTGGTGAGTGTGAGAACAAACTGTCTGCCTTATGTTACTGGTACCCACATGGTATGTGGAACAAGCAAAGATATAGAGAATCTTGGTTGGTACTGGTGAGACACAGGCCATACATATGGAACCAGGGAAGCCCCATATGGTCCCATATGAAGGTTTTGACCACTGTATCACCCCAGCTGGCCATGAGGCGAGCATCTACTCAATCAGGTGACCTCCGGAGGATCCAGGAGCCTCATTGTGGCTCAGAGTGCTCAAATCCTGCATAACACCCAATTAATTGGATGCATGCTTTTTGCTCATAGTCCTAAGAATTGAATGTATGAATTGAATTCCATCTCCATAGACCTGTAACTCCCTTGTTCCTTTGCATTAGATACCTATCCTGTTGAGGCTGAGCAGTGACATTGAGAGGTAAGCTGACAGCATTCGCTAGGCTGCCAAGCATCGTGATAGAATAAAATCGGTACCAGCTCCAGGAGCTGGAAAATCTGTAAGCAGAGGAGGCCCTGTGGCCATCCTCATCTCTTGTGGATCTACCCTGATCCTTCCAAGAAGTTATTGGATTAAACAGTCGCAATAGCATCACAAGAGAAGCTATTGCTACAGACGAACAGGCCCAGTGAATCAGAGCTCGAGTCCAAGTTGGAGATCTCCAAGAAATCCTACCTTTTTGACCCACACTGATCCACACAGCCATTTCTGTTGTTATTCGAGGCCACCATTGGATCCGCAGGGTCTGAATTACCCAAGAACAGGTCTCTGCAAGCCTTCAAAGGTCGAAATCGAGCCGGCTACCAACTCGAGGTCCACCGCGAAAATCGACAGAATATCCCTCGACAACGAATCCGTACGAAAACCATACGCTAACCCCTTTTTATGTTATTTGTGAGACGGATCACCCGTACCTGCAACCGACCCATAGGATCTAAGCCGTCATTCAGTGCACTCGACAGCCTTAGAGGCCAGGGCTTGTAGATGTGACACGTGGTCACACGGATCCGCTTGGACGCCTAACAGCAAACATCGATCAACCCCATTCAGATGTCTGCATTTTCACGGAGTTCCCTGTAGCTGGTCACTGGCATCAAAGAGACAACCTATGAATGTCCCATGCGGAACTCAGCTGGGTGTAGCGGCACAAGACGCTGGGGGTATGGAGAGCCCTGTTTGGTGGAGATCTACTTCCACTGGCGCTGGAAGGCCCAGCCCAAGGCTGGCAGCCAATGCTATTCAATCACTGTGGAACAGTCTAATTGCTCAATACGCTGGCACTGGCCATACAGAATCCAGTCTACTGCAGAGCTCTAATTGTGCTGTTGGGTCTGTGTCTCAGGTCAACTACTTCTTCCATACTTTCATTAAACTATATATAAACACAAAACTTCTGATTTTGCGTGAAACTCCATCCTCCAGCCATGCAGGATACAGATCCATGCATCCATTTTGGCTGGTATATACCAAACTATCTTTCTAGATAGGTCAAGGCTGAGGAACTGCATCATCCTTCCTTACAGAGGAACTCTATGTCCTCTACAGCTGCTCCTATCTTGTCTGATGGAGACACAGCTCATTGTACTGAAAGACTGTACAGATGCAACAGCGATCCTTCCATCAGACTGAGCCAGCACAGCTGCGCCGCACCCATATGGCTCCTATGGCATAATCTCATCGCTCCCCACCATTGGAGTCATGGATGGGATGCCAACAAGCTTGCACATCATGGGGCTTCCCTCGATACTTCCATGAACTGGTAGCATCTGGCTTCTCAGTGTGGACTTTGGTTGCTTACCTCAGGGGTTACCAACCCTCTTGAATACATCAAGGTGTCCATAGCTGAGTACCACTTGACACATTGGGAGGGGCATCACATGGGCCTGTGATCAAACCTCCAGTCGTGTTCAGGAGAGAAAGGGTGCATTGGCATTGGTCTATCTGACCATCAATTGGGATCCTACCTGGTCTCCCCATACTTGCATCATAGCTCATTGGCTTAGAAGGCATCTGTCTATCTCCCCATAAGGCCCAGTGAGAACAATCTTGGCCATAACTGTTCATCCGGAGCCCTCAACTGGGTAGTTAGCTGACGGGTTGTCATCCTATGAGGTGGGACTGGTTGTCCTATCATCAGATATTGCCTCAGCTAAAGGCAACACCTCGCAGACGTCCACTCAAGTTTACCATCTCCATACATGGGTTCAAAGGAATCCCGTCCAGAGACACGACTAACTTTGTGCTTGCTTGGTTATGACCGGTTCAGGTCCTGTCACATGACATGGCAGTGCCTCATTCCACAGCCACCAGCTTGGGTGGGTTTTTCTCCAGCCCGACTGCTTCAACTTTGCTGGGGGTGACACAGTGTAAGTTCTACCCATCACCCGAAAGGGAAGGGAGTGCCATCAGGGCGGAAGGGTGGGAGTCACCAAAAACATGTTTTCACAAAACATTGTACTTTGAACACTATCCTGGAGATGACAAGTTTAGCACAAACACTTGTCATGCTGGGCCATATCCTGCGGAAGGTAGCCCCTATGAGGGTGGCATTCTACCCCGCAGCCATGGCCGGTTCCTGGGTACCTGGGGCTCAACCAGTGCGACACAAACACTAGTTGCCCAGGCACAAATCCGATCTGGGACTTGCCCTTGAGGGCTGCCGTCACCACATTGCCATCTTGAGGATCTAAGGCGTCCCCGACTGCTGGGTCAGCCTCGCTCTTCGGATCCACCAGGTCTGACATCTGGGTTTGATGGTGGGCTTCCATCAGGACTCTTTTGTCAGCGACAGAGGGACGGATCAAGATTGGTGATCATTGACGAAGTTTCATTTGCGTGCGAAGGCCATATCAACAAGATTTACAAGAACCTTCAAGACATCAAGGGAAACACATTCAAGCCATTCGGAGGACTTAACATGGTTTTCGCGGGAGACTTCTCACAGTTAACGCCACCCAAACGAGATCCCCTTTACAAACGAGAATGCGCTGCTTTTCAAGGTACTCTTAATGCGTATATCGAGTTGGATGGAATGCATCGATTTCGAAATGATATTCCTTGGGGCGAAAGACTTAAACGTTTTCGAGCGGGGAAGCCAACCAAGGATGACATAATGTACATCAACCATCACTGTGTCGTGTCAAAGAACCATAAACCGAACTCCAACATTCAAGTTGCATGCCACTATAATTGGGAGCGAGACGTGGTCAACACTACAGTTTTCCAGCAATTCTGTGTCGCAAATGCTCCTGCGGATGCTGACAATGTTTACATGGGGGCAATTATGATTTTGATGGACAGCATGGAAATGTACAATGATCACAAGCAGTACGTTCCAGTAACAAGCAACCGCATCAAGAAACACTTCTGGACAACATGTGGCGAATCGGATTGTGACATGGACAACGGACGTGTTGATCCGGCATTGAAGATGTACTACAACTGCCCTCTGATGCTGACAAAGAATGAAGACGTACCGAATGGACAGGCAAACGGTTCGAGAGTGTTCCTACGCAAGGTACATGTAAAGCCCGGAGAACAGCCTTTCATCATCAAACTCCATTGCGGTGTCAGAATCCGTGTCTTCCGTGTGACCCAAATTGACAGAATCACAGTAAAACACGAGATGAAAGACATGTTGCCAAGATGTTTCGATGTCAAGACACACGGAGTGTCCTTCAAGTGCAAGATGAAAATCGAAAAGGAAAAGATTGAGGTTCGCATGAAAGGAATCCAGTTTCCTCTTGTTAGCAATTCAGCGACCACAGGACACAAGTTGCAGGGATACACAGCATCGCAACTGTTGGTGTGGAACTGGCACTATGCAGATAATTGGGTTTACGTGGTACTTTCAAGAGTAAGAGAAATGAAAGGCCTCTTCTTGCGAAAACCACTGTCGCTCGATTTAACAAAGTACCAGATGCCAGACGAAATGGTGTATATGCTGGAAACTTTCAGTCGCTACATTCCCTTCGATACTGTTTCCGCCGACAATTACGATGAAATGTTACAGTCCGAAGCAGCATTCAATTAACCAATTCCAAATAACTTATACAAATTCGTACTCTGACGTGTTCCAACATTGTTCATCGGGTTTTGAACTTCAATGTACAGAAGTTGACGTATTCCTCGTTCCGTTTCCATGACAGTTACTGGTACGTTAACGGTTTCGGTGACGGTACCGGTACCGGTACCGGTACCGGTAGCGGTTACGGTCGCATTACCTTATGTGCACGCACACACCTGTACAGACGTTTAAAAACGTTAAATACAAGTTTCGTACTTACAGATACACATGACCGTTGATTCTGCAACTGAAGTGCGGGTACACTATTTTACACAGTAAACGCGAGCGAATCGGTTTCGGAGTGCAACTGAGGGGGAATCTAAAAGGGGCGTCGTCTCGAGGAGACGTAACACATTTGTGTTGTGATGCTTTAGGAGCAACAACAACCCCTTTGATGACCACATGGAGAGCAAGTTTCGCGTCGGGAATGGTCACCACCGCAGCCGCGGCCGTGGTGGGTGTTTTGGCTGGAGCTACTCTGACATTCCTGTACCAAAAGTCCAAGATGAGAAATAGTACATGTAGTATCACAGGAAGGACAACAGCTCCCTCCAGCACTCGCCTTGGCCAGATTCTCTCCTTTCTCAGGGAAAGCGACAAACTAAAGCTGGTAGAACGTAGTGTTTATGTTTCGGACTGTCAAAGGAAAGAAAGCTCGGCCGAACACTCGTGGCATTTGGCGGTCATGTACATGGCTCTTCGCAAAGATATTCGTTTCAGTGTACATGACATAAATCAACTTCGGATGCTAGAAATGCTGTTGGTTCACGATTTGGTAGAGGTCTATGCGGGAGATACGCCCATGCTCGAGAACGTAACCACCGATTCCTCTACAGGCCTGCTGGTGGAGGATGATCAAAAGAGGGCTCGAAAGCAAGAGGAAGAAGCACAAGCTGCAGAGCGTTTGTTCTCGCACCTACCGGATGACTTGGCAATAGAGTTTCGAGGGCTCTGGGACGAATTTGAACTGAGGCAAACGCCAACAGCCAAGGTTGCCAAGGGGTTGGACAAGTTGCACTGTTTGGTCCAGAATTCGTGTTGCAATGGCATGGACTACAAGGCATACAACAGTACCTATGGAAACGAAATGCCGCTCATTACAAAATATGTAGACTTTGATCCCGCTCTAATGCTCTTGGCAGAAATGCTCTTGGGGGATGCCAAGAAACAGGGGTGGATTTAAAATGATAGAAATCTGGTTGAGAGTTTTGACTTGCTCGATGCAAAATCAAGCGATGCGTCTTCTCACTATTTCTTGATGATGGTCAGGGTAGGTAGCTAGCTAGTTGGTGTGTGAAAGATTGGGTGTCCACGCGTGGTAGTGACATCAGTTTTGAGTCGGCGGAGAAAATGAAACTGGCTGCCAAAGCCACGCCATTAGCTATGAACGAGACATATGGGAACTCAAGTGAGGTTGTTCCGAGGCCTGGTGACAACAAACGCATACCGTACAGGTCCATTGACTGCGGTTTTAGCTGCACAAGTAGTTGTTTCTAATCTTAGTTAGGAACACCCGCAGAATTGCCGTGCGAGCCGAGCCCTGGGGGTTGGATTTGACTCAATGATTAGTAGTATTATTTGGTTGGCATCTTACTACACTGCAGCCGGCGAAGCTTGGCTGTCACAGCTGCTTCCCAGAGAATGTATTGTAGACAATCCTGCCGTCACTCTTCGCTCTCTCTTGGGTGCTTCGACGTACTCCATCCAACCATAATGTTTGGAGAACTTTTGCATGAGATAAAAGCCAACTCCCATGATAATCAGTAGCAGTAGGTACACATAAGTTTGTTTGGATGCAATCAGCATCAGGTAGATCAAAAACGTTGTGGGTGGCACCACAAAGAGAAAGCACCCAAAGGCATTCAAAGGGATTCGATAGGGTCGTTCCACATCGTCATCGGTGATTCGTAGCTTGACAAAGGCTGCAAATTCCAAAATCAAACTCAGGCTGTACGCAAAGTTCAGCATTTCTACCAACTGATCAAAGTCTGCGACACTCACTGCCACAATGACAAAGGTTCCCAGTAAAATGCCGTTGGTGGGAGTACCATACTTGGAACGACGAGTGAACAGCTTGGGAATCAATCCTCGGTCGGCCATGCCCATCAATTGATATGCATCGCCGGACATTTCAGCTTCAAACAAGGCAATGTTGCTGATGGCCGCCGCAAATACCGTCCAAGCTCCCAACCAGGGTCCAGCGATTTCTGTTGCCACATTGGTAAAGTATCCCGCTTCCCAATCACTTTGATTGGTATCCACTGCTCCCAAGGCAGCCAGGAGAGGGATCAAGTAGCCCAAAACAACCAAGAAGATGCTCGCAAACATGGCTCGCGGAAAGACTGTTTGAGGATCGCGAATCTCTCCTGCAAAGCTTGCTCCGACATCAAAACTATTGAGATTCCAAAACAAGCTATTGAGCAAGGGTCTCCAAAAGACTCCGGCGAGCACCGGTGTTGGCAACAACCCAACTCCGTCGTCGTCTTCTCCGTAAACCACAGTCGTATCGGGCAGCACCCACCATCGATTCGTGTCGAGCTTGGGGATGGAAAAGAACACCATGATCACGAAAGGGCTCATGCTGATGATGCAAACCACAATGGAAAGGTTGCCGACCAATTCCAATCCGGTATAGTTGATGCCGGCCAAGACCAGGGTGATGCCGACGGTGACCAGAAACCGTGTCACATCATCACTTGTCGTCGTTATGGTGGTGGTGGTAGAGTCGGCAAAGTATGAAGCCAGATATTTCAGAAAGAGAGAAGGGTAGATGGCATTGTCGGTCTTTTAATACATGTAGAAACATTGTTTTGTGAGTATTTCAAAATGACAAAGAAGCGAGTACGGACTGGTTCCATTCCAGCACTTACTGCTCCTGAAATCCAATGAAAATATCCACAGAGCAGGGAAGTGGTGGGACCAAATGCTTCTTCTACCCAAGCAACAGCTCCACTTGGTTCAGGAAAGGCAGATCCCAACTCGGCCGTGATGAGTGCCTCGGGAACACACCATAAGATAGGAAACAGTGTGAATCCCAAAAGGGCATAGAAGGGCCCTGCTGCCTTGACAGCAGGCTCACATCCAAAGGGTCCTCCGCTCACTTTGTAGAAAACAAGGACAGCCACTGCCATGGCGGACAGCTTTTGAGAATGATCTCCTTCTTCTCGCGGTTTGACCGGCACCGCCACGGGTTCCTCCAAAATTTCCACAAGTTCCTGTTGCACTTCTTCTACTGCTTGCTGGACCACTTCAATCCGTTCTACAATTACGTCCGAGATATCCGAAATGGATTCCATGGCCACCTCCAACAAGGAAGAATCGCGGCGGTGGTGACCGCCACTCTGCTGCCGTCGGTTTCGACTGCTTTTTCGCCGTAGCAAACCATCTCTGTTTTGTTCTTCTTCGTCATCGTGGTTGCTAGCAGTGCTCTGAAGCGTACTTCCAGTCTCGTCACTCTTTAGTGGAGTTGTTTCGTCCATCATGCTCATCAAGTTGTGATGCTATCATTTTTATCATCCTACTAAGACACAGCATTGTCTTGGAGCCAAGCGTCATTTGTTCCCTTAAAGTTTGGCGGAACAAAAGAAGATTTTGACGGAAGGAAAAAACGCCACGGACGAATGATTGTGTGAAAGTGTCGGTGCGAATTGATTCCCGAGTAATCCATGACCTACCTTGCTGTTTGACCCCATCACTTTGAGCTCACCCGCTCTGCTGTGTTACCGAACAAGGCACACGACCTCTGGAGATCTCTGGTCGTCGTCCAGTGGTACGGGTATCTAGGTATCGGTCGTCACGCATCTTCTCTCTCGCTCTGAGCAAACTCCACAACAACTTCTTTTTACAGCGAGCACCACCGATTGTTCCCATCTTTCTCCTCTGCGATCCCCTTGGCTACGATGAACCCTCCAAAAAAGACGAAATTGAATCCGTCGAGCAATGCGCCTTCGCCAGGGCGAGCCAGTGCATTGTCTACTGCTTCGCCGACAGCAGGTTCCACGATGATGGACGTCGTAGCGTTGGAGCAGCAATGGACGCCAAATCGGGAGGATCGGATTGCTGGTAACCAAAAGAAAAGTCGCAGTGCAAAATGTGGTCCTTTACGAGGAGGTGACTGGGTTCTTTTAAATGAATCTGGTGGAGGCGCCACTCTCAGCTTTTGCTTCAAGCATGGTGATCGTACTTTTGGACTCACCGTGGGCCACCTTGCCGACCTTGGCAGCTCCATTTTTTGTTTTGCCGAGAATAATAAGGTGGAACATCCACTGCCGTGCGGAGAAGACAGTGCCAATGCGGGGAACTCTTACCCTATATGAGATTGGGACGGTGGTGTCAAAGTCAACGACAACGGATTTTCTTGTTTTTGAAATCTTCGTTGGTCCTTTCGATGTTGAGATTGCCCCGTTCAAGTTGTTGGCTCCTGCTGCCGGTCTTGGTGATCGGCCAGTCATCCTTCCCAATCCTACTGACCCTACTCCTCGTCCACAGCCTGGCGATCTTCTCGTCGGCTTTGGTTCTCAGCGCCGGGGGGCAATCGGCAAAGTTGCGTTGCCCTCGATCGCACGCAATGGCACTTTCTCCCGCATCGGAAACATCTCAATTCTTCATCCGAGCGATAACAGTACGAGTTTGACAGATCCGGGTGATTGTGGCACCATTTTTGTTGGTCTGGATGGGACTCCTTTCTACTTTCATCATTGTGCCGCGCTCCACGGCGATCGCTTTTCGTATGGCTTTCCCGTCTCCCAAGTCATGTCTGCTCACGCGGAGCTGGGAGGCGCCGGTGAAGCCCAAGAAGAAGCACAGCTTGCTTTGGTGATCGGCCAGTCATCAATCAAGAGCAAGAGGTGGCTGGGTTGCAACAATTCAAGACGCACATCGTTCCAACGCCACTTCTGGAAGAAACCAACGTGCTGGGCTACTTCTCCGACGTTCAGGACGTGCCCACGCCGCGCAAGAGCACGAACAGAAAGTGTCGTGCGAATTGATTCCCGAGTAATCCATGACCTGCATTGCTGTTTGGCCCCTCTCTTAGAGCCTCACCCGCTCTGCTGTTTTACCGAACTTTGCACAGGAACACACGAACTCTCATCTCTAACAACGTTACCGGTACGACGCAACTGAGGCAACAAAAGAGTGCCAGCTTAAGGATCATTCATTCGTATGGTGTAATATAAATAGTTGTAATTTTGCTTTAGCTACAGTAGGAATGCTTCAATCGCCGATGGAGACGTAGTTTGCTGGCCGCTTGATGTCCGTGCTACAAAGTCGAGCGAGGAGACCACTTACTACAAGGCGATATGCACTACAGTACTACAGAAAAAGCAAGGAGAGCGCGATGTACCAATATGGCTCCTGCAGCTTGGGACCTGAAGCTGTGCAGGTGCAATCTCTGTGGACATTCGGTGAGTTCAGCTTGCTAGGTATCCGAACTGTTCTGTATGAGAAGGCAGGAAGCAACACCCACAAACACAACCAGCCAGGCGGTTACAAACTCCAGCCAGCAGTGTCGACTGGATGTCAGCATTGACAGGCTGCACGTTCTCTATAGTAGCTAAGGCGACGTTTGGAATGCATGTACTGGTGCACTTATACCAGTAGGCATGCATTGGGCGCACAAACCACTTTGAAGGAACTAAAGTGGAGTGGCTCCCAACCGGAAGCAGGCACTGAGCACGGGCTTGCTTGCATCCTGAAGCACGGGAGTTGATGCCCCAAGCAAACTTGACAGGTAGCCTCCCTCTTGATCACCAGTGGGACGGTGGTTGCGGGGACCATCGAAGCAAACCAAGCGGAAGTTGGGTGTCAAAGGTGGCGTTTTCCATTTGCTGCTGATAGTACCAGTACTGAGAACTGAGTACTAGCTAGTTCACTATGGCTACTAGTAGCCGGAGTAGCTTGAGAGCAGAGGGGGAGCAGAGAACATGTGCAGTGCAGTACACTTCCGGCAACCAAAAGGAGTCATGGAAATGCTACTGACATCGTGCTGGCACTCTACCGGTAGACTATTGGAGCTTCCTATGGTGGACGACGATGCATGACGATAGCAGTGACGATTTGCAAGAAACTATGTTTTCTCTACTGCAACTGTCATAACTTTTCATTGGCAGCTAGCTGGTTCTGGTTTGGCGGTGTCGATTGGGCTCAACGGCAGGAATTGCTGATTGTAGGTGTCAAGTTTGTGTGGCTGGGAGCTGCCGAGCATGCTTTAGGTTCGGGAGTTGTGATCTCAGCGGGACCAATCAGCGCCATGGCGGGCTGCATGATTGGCTGGTGGCGTTTGGAAAGGGTGCATTCCACGCGCGAAACCAGAACGCTTCGGAATCACAATACCATGACTTTATCCAGAAATCGCCAAGCGGCATCGGCCCTGGCTTCTTCCATGATTGACTCGGACTCGCTCGAGGTCGAGTCAGTCAAGTCAAACAGGCACCATTCTCGCGCCCACCACAAACACTCATTCACCATTCAAGAGTAAGAATCAAATCGAATCCATCTTGAAAGACTTCATTCCTCATAAACCAAGCATCTGATCCTTCCGAAAGACTTCATGCTCTGATCACCCCATAAAATCTCACTCACCGCAAAACACACTCACACGCTTCGACATGTCCACTGCTATCAGAACTTCGTTGCCCTCCACCGCCGCTGCTGTCGACAAGACCCACTCATTTGTCCAGACGACCAAGTACGACCCAAGCAGCCTCCCCGCCATGTCTTCTCACACGTCTCTGTTGGATGTGATTCGAAGCCAAGGCCATGTCATGCTCCAAGATCGCGTACAACAAGCCGCACCCAGTATGCCTGCTGCTTCTCGGTCCAAACCCATTCGGATAGTGTCGCCAGGTCCCCACCATCAGCCGCATTACGACCTGCAAGAGGAGCTGGAAGAAGATCCCTTGTCCACCTCGGCGGAACTGGAGCGCTTTTACGATCATTGCACTTGGCGCATGTATGCACTGATTCAGACGGCCCGTCAAACTTCCCACTACAGCAGCAGCCATCACCATCATCAGCCGTCCCGTGCTCAGTCTCGCTACAGCAACAGCCGGGCCGCCGCACCAACCGAGTGGACAACATCCCGTCCACCCGCGGTTGAGAACGAAGATGACATCTTTGACCTGGAGCTTTAGCTGGCTATCTAGCTAGCTCTTTCTGCATCGACCCTTTGCTATTCATCACACAAGCACCTGCGACGCGCTATCGCACTATTTCATTTCATCAAGCTACCGTACCTACACCTTTTCATCTCTAGCTAGCTACTTTTTCTAGATCAAACTAATGCTAACTCGCACACACAGTAACTCATACACCATTGGCTCCTCTTCTTAGTTAGATTGGCCTTCTAGCGAGCTGCATGTACCAGGTCTAGCTAGTGGCTAGCAGCGCGATAGCCAGTAGCCACATCCTGGAAACCACACAACAGACCAACAAGATTGGCTCAACAACCGGTACCGAAGAGGAAGAGGCTGAGGCCTCCAAAGCAAACGAAGGAAAGCGTATCTTTGAGGAATCAAATTGCCTGTTGCTGTGGCCAAAAAGCAAGCAGCAGCTTTGATTGGCTGTCAAAGGCGTAAAGAAAAGGAGCGAGGAACAAGCTGAAGTTGGCTTTCTTCTGATGGCTGCTTCTGGATGTCTTTTTGAGCGAGAGGTTGGTTGGATTGGGTAAAGCTAAAGACAACACAGGTGTCAGAACAAGCCTTGGGGCCTTCGCAATTCTGGATGTCTCGCGGTTGAAGTAGCCCTCCGCAAAGATTGAAAGTGTGGATGGAGGAGCTTTCTTGTTTCGAATGTGAATTGGTACACTGCCAACATACATGTACCAGTACCATCGGCCGAAATTCTTTGTGGGTGGTGGTGCTATTGTACAATAGCCTACCTATCCGCCAATAGCCAGCTTCAGTAGTCTACTCCATAGTAGCTAGCTAGAGTGCTTCTGGATATCAACTGCCACTTTTAGCTACTGCCACTTAGCTACCGGTAGCTCTGCATAGCTAGATCTAGCTAGCTAGAGCGGAGTGGTAGAGATAGCTTATAGAGATGGAGTACGTACGCGAGCTACAGGGTGGGAAAGCGGAACTATTAACTGGTTGGATGTTGCTGCTGGATTCTCGTACATGGTGTGGTTGAGGCTGTACGAGGATAGCTCGCTACTAGCTAGCTAGCCAGAGTACCTGATAGTCCAACGTGCACATCACGGCTCCAAGACTCCAAGAAGCAAGTCATGAAGATAGATCACTGAGCGATCACTCACACATCCCTCTTTGCAACAAAGCCCCTTCAACCTTCAACAGAGCAACACGTCGCGGTGACAATGCACAACAACGCTTCACGGCTACGAGCAATCATGGTGAAGTCCGAAGCAGCGACCTTCATGAAACCTTGTACTAGCTAGTAGTGATGATCCGGTCTTGAGCCAGGTTGACTGGCAGCGACTAGCTGGCTACCGGTAGCTAGCTAGCTAGAGCTGTGCTAGATACAGTAGTTGTGCTACATGTAGAGTCTTTGTTGGACCAGTAGCCTTTCCATGATTGCCCAAGTTCCATCATGGGCTTGACGGCTGGTTCTTTTCACCTTTTCCATGGTTGCCGGAGCTTGATTTGCGTGACAGCTGGTTCTTTTGATCCAGCCAATGAGAGGTGCACTTGAGCGTGTAGCTGTACTAGTACTACATGTACCGGTACGGTACTCTTGGAGACTGTAAACTTCGAGTACTGGCGGGCAAGCTTATGTGTTATGTATGTTTATAGCACTTTTCGCAAAGCCTTTCGTGGAACAGCCCCTTGGAACGAGATGCGAAACCATTGCCTGACATCAGCTTCTGATTTTCACTTTATTAATTATTAAGTACTCCCTGGAGCGTTACTCGGAGTAAAAAAGAATGCAACGTCAGAAACGTTTCCATTTCGAGAATTGGTTTCGCTTCTCCAGAAGGAAGCTGCCTCGGATGGAGAATGAAGGATTTATTAGGTAGAGTTAGGGTAATGTTTTGTTGCGATTACTCGAGTGGTCCTGCATGTCCTTCCCGCCGGTACCTGGTGGTACATGGCTCTTTTAATAATAAATAGCGGCCTGCCATTCTTCATTCTTCCGTAGTAGGAAAAGAGAAGGGGGTCCCGGGAGGTGCTCGATAATGAGAATGCCAGCTGGCCGAATTCTTTTTTGGTATAATTGTTTATCACCATGGAGTCAGCACAAAATGATTTAGAGAAATCATGAATTGCTGGTTGTTTTCTGACACTCCGATGATCGGAACATCAAATCGGAATTCAGCTTGTTTTGTGGCCATCAGCAGTCTCATCGTCCGTCCCTTGACCGTCAACCAGAACACCGAATCTCGGGCTTCTAATCTTTATTTATCTTCTTGGATTCTCGAAATCATTCCACCCTTCAGCTATCTTGGAAAAGAATCTTGTTTAGGGTTATTTGGCGAGCTTCCGCTGACATCAGGATGTTTCCAAGACACCTCCAGATACCCCGGAGATACCCGAACTGGTGAGAATCCACATCAGGCCAATGAGAGAAGTTCTTTTTCAAAAGTTGAACTTGGTGACATTCTGATTGGTGGAAAGTGACGGACTGAAGTAGCTGACGTCCACCCAATTTGTTGGAGAGACACGTACCTACGTCATACTGCATCTTTGTATTGCTCGTGTAAATACGTAGCCCTGGTACTGGTCGAATCCTTTTCCCGAATTTCCTCGAATTTTGGGAACTTCTGATTCGAATACTGAATCCTGTCTAATTCCTACTATGGGATTGGCGCACCGCAGGAAACCAGAACCACCCTGCCGCACTCCTATTATTTGACGTCGACCACACACTATTCATTCATCCAAACAAACAAGCAAAAAGGGCGGGGTTGCATTACATCCATCCACTTTCTTAAAAACACAACTAGACAACGCCAAGCTAGCTAGCTGAAAGCACCATGACGATCCCTACGGCAGTGGAACCGGGTCGACAGACTCCTCCTCCTATGGACTCAAAGGCATTTGACCAGTATTCGCCTCAAACCATCACGCTGCGAAATCACAGCGACGCCATCTTTCGTGGCATGACGGCGGAGGCGGACCAACAGACGGCCATGATGTTGATGGCTCGTCGAGATCAACAGCCGCTGTTTCGTCCGACTAAACCTTACTTTCCCACAACTCTTCCAACGGCTCCTTCTTCTCGTCCCATTCGGATAACTCGTCGCAAGCAACTCCAACCTCGCTATCACGCAGCTCCAAAAGACACGGATCCGGATGCTCACTTGAGTGCCTCACCCACGGAGCTGCAGCACTACTACGACGAAGCCTCCTGGCGAATGTATAATCTCATCCAGACAGCACGATCGGAGAAGCAACGCGCCAAAGCCGCCATGGTGAACGTCACTAACGACGGAATGCCCGCCATGAACACGCGTGACAACCACCACACTTTTTTCACGGCGCTTCCTCAGCATCGCAACCTCTCCATGCCGGCGCCAGAAGAAGACCTCACCACTGCGGTGGAGAATGAAGAAGGCGTCTTTGAATTGGATGATCTCTAGCTTTCTTGCTAGCTAGCCCCACCTGCGTACGATACCTACACTTTGAGAAGGACAAGCGACTTTTGCTTGCCTGACAGCTACACGTGTTCTTGCGTGCCTACACTTCCATCTCCCTTTATTAGACAAACTACCTCATAGATTCAAAACAACCAAAAACAAAGACATTCAAGTACCTATCATGATACATGCCAGCCCAAAAGGATTGGTGCACCATCTATAAAGAACTGCAGCTTATGCTATCATCCGCTCTTTCTTTCTTTTAGACCTTATAGTAGCTAGCTAGATGCAGGTAACGAGGCAAGGGACTACTACTAGCTAGTAGTTAGCTACGATGAAGACTCCACTTCAATTCTTCGCTGAGGCTTTCGCGTACCGGTGACATGTAATAGCCATCAAGCTATTGATTGCGTTCCTCTAACAGCCCATCAACGGTTGGCTCAGATTAACCGCAGCTAGACTACTTGAGTAGTCTAGCTACCGGCAACTATGATATCTGGCTACTTAGCGCGCTAGCGTTGCAACAACAGAGACACACAGCAGAGACACACATTGATGATGCAACAAGATGGACACCCAACAAGACGGTTGTGCGACGTGGAATGGCACCCAAAAAGTATCATTGAAGTTGTTGGAGAGAGAAACTTTCGAGACATCCGCATCTACCCACGTTTCTGAGCAAGCGTATCTGCATAGGTTTGGGCAACGCACGAGAGAAGGAAACTAGTTGGATGACTGATGTCAGGAGGACGGCATCGAATCTACTGGCAAAGCTCCAACCTGGCACTCTGATTTGGAGGAGGACGATTCCAGTCTGTCTGCAGCAGTCCCAATAGAACTATGCTTAGCTACTAGTAGCTAGTCACAAGCAAGCAGCACCCTTTGAAAAGCCGTAAGTCGTCCTCCGCTCCAATGAGATTTCGTCCTCCTCCCAAAAACGTGGTACCGGCTGCAAACCTCACTAAAAATTTAATAGACTAGACTACCTACACTTTACAGTTACTTCAAAAGCTACTTCAACTAGCTAGCCTAACTATTCAAGCAAGGCTGGCCAATGAGGTCAATTCAGCCAGTCATCTCCCATCTCCCATGCCCACTGGCCATAGAATGTTCCTTCGCCATGCGTTTGAGGCCCATGCTTCGCCACCTACTAAGGCTCGACGGCTTTTTCACACTCAAACATAGACAAAGTAGACCACTGACCACTGGACTCGACTCTGAGAGGCATGAGTGATGGCCACTGTCGATGGCGCACTCTTCAAACAAATGAATGGTCGAGTGCGTACAGGTACTGGTACCTGTACCTATACGCATCGCAGTGCGTGGTGTCCCCACCAGAACGCTTTGCCTCATCTTTGGAATCTTTTCAGGATTTAAGCTCGATGACCGTCTTTTAATTCCTCATCACAAGCGATCATTGTACTTGGAGATTCCTGGAGAACCAGAACGCTTTTGCTTGCTCTTTCCAGGATTTAAGCTCCATGACTGTCTTCTAATGCCTCGTATGGTACGGTAGCTGGTACGGTACTCGTACAGTATGATTCTCGTCCACTCGGCTGTCGACGAACAGTTACTGGTATGGTACCGGTCCCACTAGCTCCACTAGAGCTGCTGCTAGTACGTGGGTACATGTACCGGTGCATTCGTAGCGTGCCCGTAGCCGTCAACCGCCATCCATGCATCCATCATCCATCTCCCATCATGACAGGCTGAAAGTGCAAGAAACGGAGGATAGGACGAGCTCACAGCTGAATGTAACGTACGCTACCTGATAACCAATGGAGCACGGTCGAATCGAATCAGAATCGAATCTGCAATGGGAAGCCACTTGTCTACGTTGAGAGCACCAGAAGGGCTCTATCAATGACGAGGCCATCTTGGAGTCGCCAAAAAGAAGCTCAAAAGAACCAGATTCGAATCTGCATGAAGTCGAAGGGATCCGGCTAGGGGACATGTTCATGAACTGGCCGGGGAAGGCATTGGATGGCTCTGGTTGCGTGCCTTTACTGGCTAGCCAGGAGTTGCAATCTTCCGCAACCAATGAATTGGGCATGCAATTTTTTTGTGGATGGTTTGTATCCAACGAAGGCCAATGGATTGGAATCCATTCCGAAAACGTGCTATCTGGTTGAGGGTTTTGCTCCTGAGAAGTGTTTGATTCCTGTAAGAAGGAGCACAGTGCCAGCCTTCAGGGAATCGAATCTACTAGTACAGGTATCGGTATGCTGGCTACTGGCTGAGACCACAAGGATTAAGAAAGGAATGGCTGCACCACTTGCCCTGATCGTCTGTCATTGTTAGTTCAATTGTTTATCTAGTACCGTATGTGTTTGCTTTCGTGTGGTGTTGTACTACGCAAGAGCGAACGCAAGATGGCTGCAGCATGATTCTGGGAACAAATGTGGCCTGAACAAGGTGAGCAGTCACGGTTTGCACCGTACTTGAGGCGAGGCATCCACGATGCATCCCTGGAAAACTGCTTCGTCCTTGATCGTTTTTCCTGGGTGCATCCACCCACCCACCCTACCAACCAAGCAACAATTTCATCTGCTTGCTTTGACTACATCGTGTTTCTCTCTGGCAACCAGCTCCTAATGTGGAACATTCCCATGGCCAAAATTGCGAGCTAGGCTAATACCTGGCCGTCAGACTTCATGTAGATCTAGACTAGCAGCATAAGCCAAGCAACTAACTGCATGATCATCAGCCATCTGGCTGGACTGGCTCCACAAGGTTCCATGACACTGCCTTCCTTCTACTTTTGCTTGTTATGGGCGGGCCATGATCTTCTTGGTGAAGATGGAGCAACTTAGAAGGAAGGCCAACAGAGGCTCCTACAAGTCCAATGAAGCTGCCTGGAATGGGGAAGATCCTTTTGTCAAGGCAGACCTGGTCTGGCTGGGGCTTGGTTTGATTAGTCTGAAGAGTGGCGGTGGTCCTGTTGTCTCTACTACTATAGTTACCTGGTAGCCTCCTGACATACATCATGCAGTGGCTGGCCTCAAGCTAATCCATGTGTTGGTTGCACCTCATATACTTCCCGGTAGATACTCATCGTTGTTTTGCAACAAGAAGAAAGCCGTTGGTCTTGGGAGGGGGTGGTACATCAGCAGATGAAGCCTCAACTGAAAGGAGAGGGTCAAGCGTTCATCAACTCTACGATTCTCGCGTAACTGCGAAGCAACAGGAAAGGCGAGGGCAATGTACTCCCAAACCCATCACCTACAGGTGCAATCTACTGGTACACAATAACTCGAGAGATCTAAGGCTAGTACTTATTTTTTCCAACTAAGAGCCTAACTATGTATGCTATTACCATCATTAGAATCTACTGCTCGGATTGCACCCAACCTCAGTGTCAGATGCACCCAAACGGTAGAACTTGGCAATAACGTCCATACTCTCACTTCCACCTTCATCCTTTCGTCACACCAGCAACCAAGTAAGTGGAGAAGGAGTTACTCCTGCCCAGCCTGGAAGAGTGCCGACTTTTCCAACAATCCACGACGATTGTGCACCTTGACAATATTTCCATCCGCCGACAATTCTCCACTACGACGCATGGCAACATATTCTTCTCGCGGATACTTTGTGAATCCCCATTTGAGACTCTTGAGGATCTTTTGACGTCCGGCAAACTTGAATTTTCCACGACGAATGGCTTCAATAACGTGCACTTCGTGATTGTCTTTACTGCGGACACTCAACAAGACTTGTCCAATATCGACGCGAGCAGCGACGCCAATGGGTTTTCCGTAGGAATGGCGCATTCCCGACGACAATCGATCGGCACCGGCACACGAAAGCATCTTATTGGCTCGTAGGACATGAAAGGGATGGGCTCGAATACGAATATGAAAGGCATCCTTTCCAATGTTTTTTCCCAAATGCTTGTTAATGGCAACACGACAGGCTTCGAGGGCTTCACTGGAGATTTGCTGTTTTTCATCACACACGAGATGCGCCACAAAGGGAAACTGATCGACGGGAGCTTTCTTGGCGCCGACATCAAAAATCTTGATTTTGGATTCGGGAACACCACGGCAGTACCGACTCTTAATGTACGGCTTGTTCTTTTGGTAACGGTAGCAACGAGCTGGACGACGACCCATCTTGACTGTCTTCTTCTTACTTGTCTTACTTTCAATCAACGCAAACGAAAAAAAGTTGTGCCATGGTCGTCTCCTTCGACCTCTTTCACCGCCGATCCTCGAGGAACCCGGAAGAAGTCATGTAGACTCTAGTACAGTTTCTACACAATCGAGTAGCTTTTAGTAGAGGGGTGACGAGTAACCTTGTGGGATCAAGTGTGGTACTCTTTTTACCTACGTGACTCTTGGTACTACTTCTTCGTATCAAACACTTCATTAGAGTTTTAGTTGTACGATCCCGAACAACTTTGAAAGACTTCGAAGCTCGTAAGAAAAAATGAAGGTGCGTGTTTCGCAAAACTTGAAGGATCCGATCGATTGACCATGGCGCAGGTTTGCCCAAACCATCCAACACCAAACCCCAACGTCAACGTCAACGTCAACTAACTAACTAGCCAGCTAGGATCATCCAAGATGATTGGGATTGACTCTCTACTGTCAGTGGCAGCGTCCGCCACGGCAGTCATCGCCTCTCTGCAGGCTGCTTCTCGGGCCAAGTATCTTGTGGAACATCAAGAAATTGGAGTCAAGCAAGGGCCTCTCATATTGCCTCCATCTACCTACAACACAAGTACCACTACTAGTAGTACTGATGAATTGGTATTGTGGGACCTGGTACAAGTCTTTCAGCAAAGTGTGCAATTGGGATTACAAGAGCCAACTTTAGTATTTAAGGATTGTACCATCCATACAGATGCCTTGGAGCATCTGCTACAAATTGGCAAGCAACAGGATCCATACTCCCTGTCACCATATGCCTATCAGGCTGCTACTGCTACTGATGCCAGTACAACATCATCACCCAAGAATGATAACCATCAGGAGGATCCTAACAAACTGAATCAATTGGTGGTTAGCAAAGATCAGGATGACAATGATGACACAACAAAAGATAATGATAATGATTCCATACATGTACTGGATGGTGTCATGGATCACATCCAACAGTCAACAAACTACTGGACCAAGAGACTCTGGCATTGGAGAAAATCGAAACAACAGTTTCAACACTACCAAAAACAATCCACTACTACCAGCAGCAGTAAAGAAGAAGGAGATGAAGGAGATGCCAATGTTGCCATTTCCAAACACACCCAACATGTACGACACAACAACAACAATACGTCATTCCAGGCAGAAATCACGGCATATGCACCGCAACTGTTTGCCAATCTACGAAGAGAACAATTTCTCATTTCAGACGAATCCTTTCAACGATCCATTTTCGAATCGGGACCCTACATTTCCTTTCAATCCAATTCCAAAGGGGCAGCCAGGGTTGGTAAGTACAAACAAACAAAAGCAAACTGAATGGATATTGCCATGGATGGCTTTGCTAACTCAACTGCTCATTCCTTCTTTGTGAATAGGTGGAGTCTTCTTTTTTACCAGAGATGGTGCCTACATGATCAAAACCATCAAGGTGGGTAATGTAAAGGTTACCTCAATAGCTGTCTTCCGATGACTTCTTTCTCATTTCCGATTCCTGTTGAAATACTCACTCACATTACTGACTTCATATTTTAAAAATGAACAGCAAGGAGAAGCAGAAACATTTCTCAAAATGCTACCCAAATACTACAAACACATGAAACGACATGCTCGGCATTCACTCCTCACACGATTCTGTGGCATGTACACGGTACAAATACGAGATCCTGCCGCTAACGAATTACAGAAACATACCTTTGTCATTATGAACTCTGTTTTTCCCGCCGAAGCATCCAATTTCATTTCCGAAATGTACGATCTCAAGGGATCCACGGTAGGACGCGCATGTTCGCAAGAAGAAAAGGCCAAAAAGGGCCCAAACGCCGTACTCAAAGACTTGGATTTGGCACGGGAAGTTGAATTGGTCAAGCAGTCCAAGTTCACGACAAGAGACAATCGTGACAAGACGACAACATCAAACCACAATAGCAACAACAATTATGGAATCCACTTGGGTGCATCGGCCAAATCCAAGCTTTTGGGACAATTGCGAAAGGATGTGGCGCTGCTACAGGAATGTCGTGTCATGGACTACAGTTTACTCGTGGGCATTGTCAATATGGATCAACAACAACCACAACAACAATCATCACCCGTAAGAATTATTGATGCATCCAATGTCAACAACAACACTATGGAAGAAGTATTGAGCGATCATCCAGAACAAAAGCCAAAGGGCATTTCTCTTTCGCAACGACTGTTTCGATCCGTCATGACACCGGTTCGACTCATGATGGCACCGCCGCTCTTTTTCAGCAAGAAACTATACGCCGGCTCTCAACGAACATTATCCACCGTATTGACGTATCCGTTACCGCATTATGGTTCCTCGGTTTGCGTCGTGGATGGTGGCGTTCTGTCGATACTCTACGGCACTCGATCGGGCAAGCGAGCCATTTACTACTTGGGGCTGATTGACTTTTTGCAGCCATGGACGACACGCAAAGTGGTCGAGAAACAGTTGAAGGGATGGCTCTTGCGTCAAGACACCCATGCCATTAGTTGCGTCGATCCGGATGAATACGCAACACGATTCTTGGACTTTATCGAGGCTCATGTAAGTTAGGCTAGCTAGCTAGCTAGCTAGATGCCGGGATGTAAGCACCAAGAGTCGATCGGTTCTTTCCGTCGCTTGGAAACGTCTCGAGGGATGAAAAACCTGTGTTGTTATTGTGGACTGGGACTCGGTGCCAGTCGTGCTGCGGATCAAATACCTTTGCGCACATCAATACCTTTCTGGTACACACGGTCGCTACCGGTAGGAAACCCAAAAGGACAGGAGAAATGGCTGGACCAATACCGGTAGTAGTAGGCGAAAGTACTAGCTACATGCAGCTGCAATGTAAGGCATATGCAGCGGATCATCGCTGAAGATTAATGACGACCTCTTCCTAGTAGCTAGCCAGAGATGATGGAGTCCTCAATAGTCAACTACATGCACCCGAGCCAGCTACTAGTACGAAGCGTTCTCCTTATGGTTTGTCGAGCACCCATTTTGTCAAGATCCAGTGTACGGTACGGTTCGGTGATCTTGCCCCTGTCATCGGCTACGGCAGCACACAAACTTCCGACCCGTACGTGTGCTTTGGTTCGAGTGCCTCGAGGTCGGCATTGGTTCAGTCGTGAAAGAGCAGACTCTGGCTACCGGTACCGTAGCTAGCTACCGGTACTCAAGTACTAGCTAGTAGCACAGTCGTAGAGCTGATCAGCAAGATCATCCCACAACTCGGACCAAAACTCGCCTTTCTTCCATTGCTCGACTCGACTCTCGCTCTCTTCTGCAGTTATTAAACCAACATGAGTGTCAAGAAGGTAACCACTAGCTAGCTAGCTCGGTAGCCATAAGGGGCAACAAAGCTGCCACAATAACATACAACATGTTCTTTCCTAACGCTCGCCCTCTTTGCTTCAGATTTCAACCTCGTACATCAGCCAAGGCAAAATTCAGCTTGGCGAGGTAATCGGGAAGATCCGCGTCGGTGACACATGTCAGTTTCACATGGTTGGAACCATCGTTTGTTCCAATACCGGTACTAGTAATGATAGTAAGCCACGCGGCTGGTGGTGCATTCCCAAATTCAATGATACTGAGTTTATCGATACTGGCCACGTAGGAAAGCAACTGACCATGGAGATTCGTGAAAACGGCGTCAAGACGTACGATGGACTTTACCGTGGCCTCAACGACGCCATGAAAGATATGATCTTTGGAGAGGAAAGCACTTTCTTGATTCCTTCTTGCTTGGCGTTTGGATCTGATGGACTCTCAAAGTGTAGTATTGGGAGCCACCGTCCCAAAGACCACGATGGTCGCAACCCTGCCGGTGTATCTTTCCTTCAGATTGAACCCGACAGTGATTTGCAAGTCAAGATTTTGGTTCAGGGCGTTGGTCGGAACGGAGAATGGCACCGCCGTGCCATGGTAAATGGACCTGTCTCTGGCTGGGCCATGTGATGATGTCGTTGTACGATTTCATTCCCAGATTTCCTCGTGTCCAGCCAGCTAGCTGGCTCGTTGGTATGCATGGCTGCCAGATCAGATCGTCTGGGTTACTCGGCGTTCTGTCTATTTAAGCTATTGTATCTGATTACAGAGTTGCCTAAATGTTCTATGCTCCATAGAAAAAATGGCTTATGTCTCACAATGTCTCACTTTGTCTACCAATGTCTACCAATGTATCACTTTGTCTACTAATGTCTACCAATGTCTCACTTTGTCTACACAGTACAGTAAAACACTACAAAAATGTCTCACTTTGTCTACCAATGTCTCACAATGTCTCACAATGTCTCACTTTGTCTACCAATGTCTCACAATGTATCACTTTGTCTACTAATGTCTCCTAAAGTCGCACAATGTCTACTTTGTCTACTTATGTCTACTAACAGTGTGTAGACATTTACATAAGGATCACTTAATCGCCAAAACACTGACAAAATGCCGAGTAACCCTGTTTGTGAAGGAAGATCCATGCCAATTCTTCTCGCTCACTTGTGCCAGTACCCTGTAATAGTGCCAAGTGTGAGGGAGTGAACAAAAAAGCAAAAAGCAACTGCCAGTACTATTTTATTAAGCATACTGTACATGTAGGTCTTAGATATTTTAATCCTTAATCAATCTGTGTTAACATTTGATTAATAAATTGTACTAGTAGTTATGTTCCTGTAGAATTTTATTTAGGGGTCGTCGAAGCCTCTCCCTCCTTTGACTTTTTGGAACCAGAAGAGGGCTGGGCCACGTGAAAATGGCTTACATCTTTTCAATGGTCTGTAAACAATTTACTTAAGTCTGACGAGCACTGTATCGCCAAAACACTTTTGGCTCAAACAGCCTTCTGGGGGGAAATCCGAGAACCCCGCAGACGATCAATCAACGCTTCCTCGAACTACTACAGATCCACTTCTTTTTAGCAACTGCACCTTGAGGTATTCCACTCAAATTGAGTCTTTTCTCCTTTTTTCAAAAACATTTTCTTCAAAAATATGTTCCCCAGACTGAAAAGGAAACAGCCTATTTGAGCTGACCAATCTGAATCTGAATTTTAAGAGCCTGGTTAGGCTCTTAAAATTACAACAGGCTCTTAGAATTCAGATCTGAAAAACCAGATTGAATATCTAGCTAATTTACACCGGGATCTGAGTTTTCAATTTTCCAATCTTAATTCTAAGAGCCTAAATAGGCTCTAAAAGGCTCTGAGAATTCAGATTCAGATTATTCAACTTCAACAGGCCTTGTGGAGTCCTGCATGTCTCTTTGCTTCATTTTACATTTTCTGAACAATTAAACTTTGAGCTTTTTCTTCCATTTGGAGGAAATTACCCCAAGGTGCTGCGCCCGCCACAACCGCACCAACCACAGTCACTCGACTCGGATGGAACGGGGTTTTGAGTAGGTAGATAGACATACCCGCACCATGAGTACCGCCACTGCCACTACACCTAATGATGAAGGTACTAGTACTGCCGAGTCTCCTCTTCTGTTTGCCGATGATCTCCTTTTGATCCAAGGAATTCTACCGTTTGTTGGCGTTGGACAGAACGCCTTTGTAGGAGCTGTCAACAAAAAGATGAAAAGAATGTGTACAAAAAGTACTGCAAAATGGAGCTAAAGAAAAAGCCAAGAAAGATAATCTATATGCATATCCCGAAATGGCATGATTTCACTTGCCCTGCAGCAATCACCGACACTCTTTGCAGCGAAACATTCTGTAACCAGACACGTGCAGAATACTGGGTCAGGGACAATTCGAGCAACAAAAAGCCTGATCATGATCGTGTTTGCACTGTCATTGCCAGAATTGGAAATATTACTGTCATGCAGTGGGCACGACACAACAAAGAATTCCCATGGGATGATGGACATGCCGGCCGCTGAAAATGGACATTTGGAAATGCCCAATGGTTAAGAGAGAATGGTTGTCCATGGGATGATCGGACATGCAAGGCTGCGGCTAAAAATGGTCATTTGGAAATTTTCAAGTGGCTCGTGCAAACGGTTGTCCATGGGATGCGTGGACATGTGTCTATGCTGCTGGAAATGGAATTGGAAATTCTAAGTGGCTTGCACGGTGTCCATGGAATTGAATGTATATGTGATGGTGCTGTTCGACAAGGACAGTTGGAAATTTTGAAGTGGGCTCGTGCAAATGGGTGTCCATGGAATGAGTGGACATGTGCCTATGCTGCTAAAAATGGACATTTGGACACATTGATGTGGGCCCATGAAAACGGTTGTCCCTGGGATGAATAGACATGTGCAAATGCTGCTCAAGGTGGACATTTGGAAATTTTGAAGTGGGCTCGTGAAAATGGTTGTCCATGGGATGAGCGGACATGGCGGTATGCCAGTCGCAGCAGCACCGAGGTGATCCAGTGGCTACGTGACAATGGTTGCCCTGGTTCTCGCGGTGAAGGACATTGATATCTTATATCTATCAACAGCATTTATGTTTTATAGTCTGCTGCCAGTCTAGCTAGCTCCCGGTACTCTGAGTAGTTATCAGCGGAGCATCTGTGGCTGGATTCATCGCTCGTTTCATTTTCAAATCGAAGTGACTAGTAACAGGACGCTCTGGGATGATAGTCAAATCCGACCCTTAGAATCGAGAGACAGGGGTGGCCCTGTGGCAGCTAGAAGGCCAAAGACTTGAGGGACCAACATCGACCGTGACGCATGTGGCGTGGGTGGCATTCAAGACAAAGATATCTATAGACCAAACCGTAAAAGAGAGTTTTGTATTTATTTGTGCATTATTTTACAGACAGTTGCAAGCGCGTTGTGGCTCTGAATTTGCGAGTCTTTTTCGCTAGTTTTTCAAGGCCACACAACTTGTCCTAGCTAGGTAGATTTTGCGGCGGAGAGCTCTTCTCCGCAGTGAATGATGAGTGCTCCAGTATATACTCGTAGCGATTGATTCTACGATTATTGTTGTTGTTGTGCTTGTGGTGCTGCTGGTGCCTTTTTGCTGCTGCAGAATCGTTTCAAGTCGGACCAGGATGTCAATGTGGGATGACACTTTTGGTATACTTGCTGCATCGTATCTTGTTTTTGCTGGGCATCCAAGTTGGTGGCCGCTTGTAGCAATTCCCGATGTGATTTCATTTCGGTATTGACCATGGCACAGCAGAGTGCCGCATATCCCTCGGACGACAATGGGTCCTTGTGGTAGTCTGTCGTGTTGTTGTTGTTGGATGATGATTGTTGTTGCTGTTGTAATTCTAATTGATGCGCAAAGACATCTCCCGTGCCTCCCAATCGTTGTTCAATGTGTTGTAAATCTTGCCATAATTGGTCGGTCCGGACCACGAGAATGGGTGTTTGCGGCTTCATTCGACTCTTGTAAAAGGAATAGTTGGCCCACAAGTGTCCTGCCATGCCATTGGGACCTCCATAGCCTTGCAACGTCTCGTGTGCCAATTGTTGGCAATTTTGACTAATGGTATTTGTGGTTTTGTGGTGAAATGCCATGGCAAATTGTTGAATGGTGGGAAAGCACTGATTGTAGAATCTTTCTTCTCTGTTATCATTTTGTTTTTGTTTTTGTTGTCTTTGGATGCGTCTTTGTGTGGTGCATGCCTTGTCAATAAGAGTATAGTTCTGTCTTGGAGTTGGAATTCCATGGACAGTGTGGCAATTGATGGGATGCATATAATAGAACCAACTAATGACTCGCTCGACTGGATGCCTGAGACTAATGAGATACTGAGATGCGTCGTGTTGAACGGTAGCTTGATTGGGATAATATCCATTGACATGCCAAAAGGCTCTGGTAGAACGACTCAGTTGACTCTCTGGGTAGACAAGAGTCTTGCTAGTGGTAGTATTGTGGTTGTTGTGTCGATCGTTCCATTCGTTCAGACAATACTCTCGGCTGTCAGCCTTGGTGCGACTGGTACACAACACTTGAAGCATCGAACCAATGGTAGTGCCTCCCGTCTTGCCCGGATGAACAAACACAATCATGTTATCATTCTTCTTATTGAAAAGCTGACTCCTGCTGTCCATGACTCTCCAACCAACTATGTTATTGGGATCCTCGACCATGACTTCTCTGGCAAAGTCCATAGTATCCCGAAAGGTAACATTAATGCGAACCAGAAACACCGAAATGGCGGCAGAAATGTAGATTATCACCAACCTAAAACACGTCCGTGGAATCTTCAACACTCGATCTGCCTCTTTCACTTGACCACGAGGTCTAGTTGCACTCGTTGTAGTAGTGGAGGTGACACTACTTATTGTCGAGACACTCATGGTTGTTCAATATTATTTGTGGCTATTTGTAGCTATCATAGCTTGTGGCGATGCTGATGCTGATGCTACATGTAATGCTACATGTAATGTTGATGATGGACGCAACCAACGGACGCAGTTGGGGAAGAGAGTGACAGCATTGGCTTCGGATTCGATTCGATTCGATTCGAGAATCTTCATGCTGGCGCTGAGCGAGGAAAACAGAATGTGAATCGAATCTTCTATCCTCAACACTAAGAACGATTTGAAAATTTGGATGGTCCGGTCAAGGGAACGACCTCAGCTTCGGCTTTGGACGAAAGGCACGGAAAAATCTATGCGATTGATGACTTTGATGCTATAACTGCCGTAGGCGATCCCATAGGAGCATCACGCCTGAAAAGAGGATCCGATTGACTGCATGTCTTTTGAACCTACCAAGTTGAGAACTGGTCTTGAGTTTGTTTGCGGGTTCCTCGATCGATCATCAGGAGGCACCGGTACCGCAAACTACCTTTTTGGCCGCATGCATGCGTCGTCAAACGCTGATGCAGCTGCTTTGAATATAACATATGCCGTTCACTGATGCCTTGACTGGTCTTATAAACGTGACAGACAAACAAGTCCATAACGCAACACTGTTTTGGCATGTGCCTGCAGTCAAAACCGGAAAGTCCCGTCCGGCACAAAAAGATCCAACCCATGCAGACATGCATGAAAGTAAGTGGGTGCACATCCATACGATGCATTTGAAGAACTGAGTTGTACAGCTCATAAAACCACAACTTGGCTGATCTTTCTCAGCAAAAACTCAATTCAGAGACTTAGTTTGATCCAGAATAAGTTTCTAAAGTTCGACATGAAGTTCTCTCTCGCCTCGTCTCTACTCGTGCCGCTCGCCGTATTGTTGCCCACCGCTACTACGGCGCAAGGCGACGCCGGTGTTCCCGATGAATTCAAGCCAAAGGATGGTAAAAAGCACCCCCCGGGCTGCTACTTTGCCGAATACTTTGGATCCGGGACAACACTCGATGAAAGTGGCACGGTAGACTTTTTTGTCGCCCCAAAAGCCAAGACGTACTGCACCACCGTCTGCTTATCGGGACGAACGGCTACCACTCTCTATCTCAATTACGGAGGAGCCGCCGCCGGTGATAGCTCGGATACCGAGTACGACTCGACCACATCGTCCGTTTGTGGCATGTCGCTCGATTTCAAGAGCTACGACGCACAAACCAAGCTCGGATGGAAGATTCAAGCCGCCGATTACGATCATTTGGTCCTCAGTTGCTTTTGTACTGATGATGGTACTATTGACTACGCCGATGTGGCCGACACGGTCGTCGATGTGGGTGGGTCCGTCTTGTATTCCATTTACAAGCATGGATGCTTTTCGGAATCCATGGTGGTTTCCGTCCAGGGCAAGGGAGATGTGCCCATGAAGGAGTTGCAAGTGGGCGATCTCGTCTTGACATCCGACAACCACAAGTATGAGCCCGTATACAGTTTTGGTCATTACACGCCTGACAAGACAATGGAGTTTGTTCAGATTGAGTACACTACTACTAGCGGTACTGGTGCTGCGGAAGAGCAGGACGGCAATAAGCAAACTCTGGAATTGACGGACAACCACATGATCATGGTACTGGATGACAGCAATGTGGCCCGTGCCACTCGTGCCGACAAGGTCCAAGTCGGAGATCGACTCTGGAAAGTGGGCGGGGCGACAAAAGAAGTCGCGACAGTGACCACCATTACGATTGACGAGAAGAGGGGTCTCTACATGCCACTCACACCCAGCGGTCAGATTGTGGTGAATGGGGTCTTGGCATCCAACTACGTTTCCATCTCGGATACTGTGCCTAGTGTGGTAAGCACGGCGCAATGGTTCTTGCCATTTGCGACGGAACAGACTTTGTCGCATTGGTTTCTTTCTCCCTACCGAATGCTTTGTCTGGGGATCAGTTCTAGCTTTTGCGACGTTCAGCAAGGAAATGGTGGGAACAAGGATCAGAGTACCGTCAGCGAGGATGACAAAGATGATGAAGGAATCATTACTTGGCTCATGATAGGTCACAAGATGGCAGAGCTTGCAGAGTTGTTGCCTGCTTTGGTCCAGGCGGTTGTCATTGGTGTGCCCATGTTTGCAATCTTTGCTTTCTTTAATATCGTGGAGACCGTGTTCCTTGGACCAGCCATGGCTCCTTGCCTGTTTCTCTTGACGGCAGTGCTGGTTGCAATGGTGAAGAAGCGCCAGCAGAACTATGGTAAAGCTGGTAATGGTGAGCTGAAGCTTCCCTTGTTGGGGTAAGAGCTGCATGGATGAAAGTTGCAGCTATTTCTGTCTGCACGTATGTTGAAGGTACTGATTTTGATGCCTAGCTATAAGATAATGAACACAAGACATGTTGGAGAGTATAGAATTAGCTGGTTCACTCACCTCTCAAGCAATCTCCAAGCAGTAAATAAATAACTATAAAGGGGATTAAGTGAAAGGAACGTCACTAGGTAACGTCCGCTTGTAGAAGGTAGGGAAAGGGATCCAAGGGTTCAGGGCGTGACGTAGGCAAATATGGATTGCAAGTACTGAGGATGGGGATGAGCCGGAGGAATAGAGGGATCGAGCTTGGCGTGTAATGGCGCGTTGAAAGTGTTGTGCCAAGTGCGTAGACAGATTGAGGGCGAGTGATTGGTGTGCCCAGCGTGAAGGTGTGTAGGGTTGGGTGTCAATGGAGTAGTTGGTGGAAGTGACGAAGTGTGTATCGGCGGTGGGGAGGATGGCGGTAGGGGCTGAAAGGAGTTGGGCGTAGGAGCGTTGGGAGTGGGTTGGTAGTTTGTCAGACCATGGGGGTGCTGGGAGGGGGGATGGTTGGCGAGAGGAGCCATAGAGGAGAGCATGGGCAAAGGGGCCTAGTCCGAGAAATGGGTCAACCGTGAAGAGGATGACACCTGCATTTTGGAGAGCTGTAAAGTAGTGAGCAGGGACAGTGCGAGATTTTGTTGTGAGCTTACTTCGGATCGACTTGAGATGGGCCTGGGAAAGGGTTTTGGGTTGATGGGCAGGGGACAGTTGTAGATGGGCGTTGCCAGGATGCAAGGGTGCAAGGGTGCGGGCCATGGTGGTAGGGAGGGAGGCAATGTGGTTTGGGCCAACATTGATGCCGGTGGTAGCATAGCGTAGGTTTCTGGTAGTGAAGACTAGGAATGCTGTGATGGAGAAGACAGAGTGGTTGCGAGTGCCCAAGCCACCAGCAGATACAGGGAGATGTAGGAGGTGTTGGGAGACAGGCGGTAGGGATGTGGCTGCACCAAGTTGTGATAGGAAGGAGTGGGATGCAGTAGAGATGGTGGACTGGAATGGAGAGTGCCAGTCAAAGAGGGTGGAGAAGGTGATGGTGGTGGGGTCCAAGTGGTAGTAGACATCGGAGGTGAGGAGATGCTGGATGGAAGGCAGGGCGCAAGAGTGAAAGAGGAGGCACTTGGTGTGGTGGTGCTGGCCCACAGCTTGGAGAGGTTGGTGGTGTATTTGGTGGCAGCTTGGGTGAGGTATTGGTCAGCAAAGGCCTTGGAGCCAAGGGGTTGGCCAAGGAATCGCACGCCAAGGAATCGCACACCAGTGGTGATTTCTGGGTTGACAAGGGAGCCTGCTTGGTGTTGGATGAAGAGAACGGCAGCCTGGACATGGGGGTCTGTGGAGGGGGTGCGTGAAGTGCTGGTGAGTAGTTTGGTTCTGGAGTAGTTCAGCTGGAGCCCTGGGGGTTTACCTTCGGTCTGGAAAGTATCAAGGAAAGGGACAATGTCTGGGGAGAGGATGAAGGTGTTGGCGTCATCAACGTAGGCGGAGACAGTCACATGGGAGCCAATGCCATCATCGCCTGTGTCACCGTTGGTAAGTCGGAGGGTAGCTTTTTGTTGTAGGAGGGTGAGAAGCTTGGACAGTATACGAGGCAAAGGCAGAAGACAGAGGCAGTAGCAGCCAGGGGGCAGCCTTGGGCGTGGCCCATTCTGGTCTGTGGATCTTGGACTTGGGATCCCCAAAGAAGACCATATGATGGTTTTCGTTGATGTGTTGTATTTGTTGGGTGGTGGGTCTCCTTTGTTGTGGGCTTGGTTGTGGGCTCCTGCTTGCCAGGTCAGAGAGGCAGTTACCAATGACAACAGATTGCATTGGATTATAGGAATGGAGAAAGCACCTGATGAGTGCCCTGATGATCCTGTGCTGATGGTTGCCATAATCTATGGAAGCTTTTTGGCTGTAGCTGTTGAAACAAGCTATTGCAGCCGTTTCATCACACCAGACTCGAACATTGGCATGATGCAGATTTGGAACCTGCTGGATAAGGTTGAGACGCAGTAGTGTATCTACCATCCTGATGGTTGATGGTCCTTCTCTCAGCTAGCTAATGCTAACGATGAACATGTCCCTCAGCCAGCAGCAGAGTGTGGCACAGAATCTGGCAAATGAATGGGATTGATTCTTTTTGCAGTGCTGTGGGATTGACGACGCAGACAAGTCCCGAACCATTTTAATTATTTATTTACTGAGTTCTTGCCGTTGCCTCGTTGTTTCATTTCATGCCCCACAAAGATGAGGGTGTTGCATGGATGTCTTTGCTAGCTTGGAGTGTAGGATTACACACACATGTATGCTCCGTTCAGGCAATGATATTATAAGCAAGCCATGTCGTCTCCTTCGTCTGCCTCCAAAACGAACTGCAGTGGGAGCAGCCAGCTGTCCACTTCTACTGCCAGTACCCCCAGCAGTACTGTTAGTAGTACATGTACGGGGAGTCCCTTCAAGAAGAATGCGTTCAATGTGCTGATGCAGAGTTCCGCTCGTTCCCCTAGTCGTAAGAAGAAACGAAGCTCCAGTAGTACTGGTAGTGGCTCTGCTAGAAAGAGCAGCAGCAGCAGTGTGAGTCCTTCCAAGAAGAAGAAACCAAGGACAACTACTAGTAGTAGATCTAGTGGTAGGTCGAGTACTAGTAGTGGTAACGGTGGTGGTGGCATTGGATTTGTGGAGTGTCCTTTGGGCTGTGGTCGCCATGTGGCCAATCTGGAACATTCCATCAATCGCCATTTGGATTTTCAATGTACAGTCATGAAGCAGCAACGATTGCAAGCTAAGCAACAGCCTGAGCCACCACTTAGTTCACAAACTGAACCAGAAAATGGAGAACCTGAACCAGAATTTCAGGAGCCAAGTCAGCAAGAAATTGAAGAACCTGATCCAATCGTCATGAAACAAGAAGAAGAATCTATGCATACATGTATAGATAGTCCAATCAAAGCGGAACAAGATGAGGATTCTGACAAAGCAGAAGAGTCTTGCACACCCAATCTGTCTAGTAGTACAGAGGCCCATCAAAACACTGATTCTGCAATGACCAGCAAAACTACTATTGAAGATCACAACAACCTGGATGTGGGACATGCCTTGTTAATGCTCCATGCTTCATCCATTGTTTCACCTGAAAATTCACAACCACAACCAACACCACTCCCTCCCATTGATCAACAGACTGTCACTCAAGAACACCAAACGCAACAGCAAGAATCAACGCCGTCACCCAATAGTGCCACCGACGATAAGAAACAAACTAACGTATTTGCCCACATGATGCAACAATCCAGCAAAGTTTTCGCTTCCGCAAACAGCACCAAACAAGTACAACAGCACTTGACACTCCACTATGACCCCAACAATAAGGATTCCTTAGAATTCTCTTGGAACCTACAGGTAATCGACAATGATAACAACCATCCACAGCAGGAACCACCACCTCTTTGGTCGTGTGACTCGAAACTCAAGGACAAGGAAACCGATCCACACACTACCATTGCCTTGACGGTATCCGTCACTTCCAACGACACTCTTGCCAATTCTACACAAGACGATCATCGATGGGTTCGAAAACATTCCCGACTATCCGTACCCGTACTCAAATCCATTTTACAAAAATCCGTTCGGAGACGACGGCCACTACCCAGTGTACGTGTCGCCATGGAACTCATGGATAAGGCACTGGGCGAATTCCTCAGACGATTGCCCATTATCGTATTGGAAGACTCCACCCTGCATCCAGATTATCCCTTGCTCATTTGGGCCATGGTGGCACATAGCAAGGGGTTCTTTGATATTGATACAACTGATGCACCAGACAACGAGGACAATGCCACCAAAAGTCGCTGGAACGTGATTCGGGCACTCCAGTTGCGACTCTTGCGCATTGTCTATCAAGTGGCGTCGTGTCCCGTACAGGATCATCTCTCTTCGCAGAAACAAGACCCGAATGACGAAGCATCACCCACCTCCGCAGGTCAAGGACAGACACCAATCAACAACGCCACGAAGCCCTGCTTGTCCAACCCATTCCTTGTGTGCGAGGTGGCAACAACAGGCAAGTCAACGGAATCGGACAGCACTATGACGAGGAAACGCGATGGAACAGACCCGGTGGTGACAAAGCAGCAACCACAGGATCAGCAATCGTCACAAAAACAACTACAACTTTCTATCTGGGCCATGCTAGTGCGAGCCAAGTACGGTGGCATGTCGTGCGATGTTCGCATGCTCTATCTTTATGCACAAACATGGCATGATCGATTGCAGCAGGAAGGCGACGACGCCACTTGGTTAGACGTTCCCAAACGAATGCACGAAAAGGCCGTTGCCGCTTCCACAACGCGTCTAGCATCGACCGACATCTTTTTGGAACGGTTGTGCTTGCCAGATATTTGCCGACAAGGAGTGGACTTTCATTGCAGCAACATCATCCCGACATTGTTGCAGGACTCGCAACTCCGAACGGCGGTTCAGCAAATGGCCGACGGGATGGAATGTAGTGCCGAAACTCTCCTCCAACGAATCATTTGGAAGTTTTCGGCTGGGGTAAACCTGCGAAGGCCTCTGGCCACGGAAAGCAAGAAGGGTGGACGATCCAATCAGCATCAAGATCAAGTCTTGAACCAATTTTGGAAGGATGTCCTCGACGACTTGGTGACCGCATTTCAAACCAAGTATCTCGGAGAACGCTTGCGATGACGTGCTTGCTTTTGTGACGACGTGAGCTAGCCTCGCAGTCTTTCGCAACACGATTGGAGGGTGTTGGATGGGGGCCACAAAGATGACATTAAAGGATCTCCGCGCTCGGTCTTTCGTCATCTCCGCAGCTTCGATGGGGCAGGCAGACACAGATGCTGCGAACAGTCAACTTGGTTATCAGGCTTCATGGAGATCAACAATATGTGATGCTACTATTACAGGCAAATGCTAGCTAACCGCTGAGAGCCTGATCAAGATCAATTGTGACGGTCACATCAAGACGCAAACCCCGAACAAGTCAGCACCATTATGGGTAGCGGGAATCCTCCTGGCTCTTCTTGAAGCGCCTCTCCCGGAGGTGGCATCTGCTTCACGATGACTATCTAGTACTCCAGCAACCCTGGTATGATTGGAATCAAAGGGGAAGGGTTCGCGCCGTCAAAAAGCAGATTCCTTCCTTGTCTTGGAATAGTTTCTGGAACAGTGCGATTCCAGATATCGGCATAGTCGCCAACATCGTTCACAGCATCGCGGAATATGCGACTGAGTTCAATTCCGTACAGAGAGACAGCAGGCATTTTGTTGGATGTCTCCTTTGTGATTCCATTTTCTTCAGCAAAGATAATGGCTTCCACAATCCATTTTACTACCGTTGCCCATTCATGATCGGATTGCCGAGTGGCCAAGCAACGGTTGGATAGCATGTTGCTGGGGAGGAGCACTTTAAGTCAGCGTGATATTTCATGATCGAGATTGGACAGCAGTTCAAGCATGCTTACCTTCCAACGATGTCCACAACAGTGGTAATGTAAAAGTATGGCTGAGAGAATGAGAATCCAACGCCAGTGGTGAGCTCTCTTACTTCAGTTTCAATGTTCCACGGAGCACCCGCAAGAATGTCGATTTGTCCGTCTTGCAGCAGTGAAAAGCCCTTTGTGTCATTTGCAACCTTTACTACCTCCAACGTCTCGGAAGAACCCAGAAGACCGGAGGCTACCGCTTTACAGAATTCCACGTCCATCCCCTGAAGACCCACAAGCCCGTCGGCAAGCTCTTGTTGTTTCTCTACTGCAGGCACAGATGATGACACACCAACTCCACACCGCAGTCTTCCCCGTCTGATGATCCCTGCCATTGTGCCATTACTCCGTGGAGGAGGTCCCGTTACCTCCTGGCGTCCAAAAGGACGAGACACGAGAAATCCATTACTGGACTCGTTCACGCCATAATGATACACCATTCGCGGATACAGCTCTGATATGATTCTCCGATCGTACATTTCC